ATATATACACACACACACACACACACAGTCACACACCCATATTTATATAAATATATAAATATATATATGGGTGTGTGACTGTGTGTGTGTAAATATATTAAAATAAATAGGTATATGGGTTTGTGTATATGTAAACACACTTTTCAATCATCTGCTTGCAATAAAAGCAAAGTTTTCACACCAATATTCAAGGTTATCTATTAATGTGTTCGTCAATTTAACATCTAATAACATATCTTTACATAAGTATAAGTCAACAAACCTTTCGCTTTCGATGGATTCTCATCTTCGGTTACTGTGATGGCAGGCATCACATGTGTTGAGCTCATTTCGAAATAATTAATATTATATATTATACACTATCTTGGAGTGTGATGCCTTCAGATAGATAGAAGATGGATCTTGTTCGGATACGGGGAATCGTTGAAGGCAGCGATGATACGAACACTGCGCTGTTGACTTTCAGGGATTGAATTGAAATGTTTTGCATGTATTTTTACTTATTTAACTAAAATGTGTCCGTAAAAATTTGTATAATTTAGAAGAAGGCTATGAAAAATTAAATATTTCCGATGCACGAGCAGTAATAAATTTGATCCTATATTTTCCAAAAAAAAATGTGACAACAGATACCTCTGACCAGCTACCACTACATTTCAAATAAATACTTGCAAAGTTGCACGGGAATAGTCAGAGCCTATTTACTAAATAAAACAGAATAGTTGGAATAGTTTTTATTTTTGGCGGGGCTGTGTCAGTATGTCACGAATTCTGAGTACATATGTATAATGTAGCCTGCTCGACACATCTTATGGCAACATCAAGCAGGCGTTTGTGCATATAATATTTATAAACTATTTACAATGTGTATATATATAAATACAATAGACCTATTTATTTATATGTACTATATTTATATATTATAGTGAGCATATATATGCATGAATATACGTAGCTATATTTGTATACATACGCATGAAGTTTAAGTTGTCGGTGTATATGCGAGTAATTTTGTAGTATACAAGACATACAGTTACCATGGCAACACCGGTAGTGTTCTCCTGTGAGACACTGCCTAATATAGGATCGTATGTGGTAATTGTGGCTCCTCCTTCGGCAGATATTGGACACCATAACGTACATATTACAGCTGATGCCTTAGAAAGTGAGCGAACCATACTTTGCCAATTCCCTGCTAGGGCGGACTCTAAGGTATTCGCACCAAATGTACCTATCTCACACCTACACTCACTTATACACGCGCGCGCCCGTACGCACGCAA